CTGCTAATTCATCTGTAGTAGCTTAGAATATTTTACCTCACAATTTCTGCGTTGTTTTAAGGTGAAATTCAATTTGACAAATAAATAATTCTTACAATACTGTAAGTGAAAATCCTGAAATACAAATGGACGAAGTTAAAAATGCTATTGCAAAATTTCGAAATATTTGCATTCAAAAGTATTATTTTGTATTGCAATCTTTAGCCTCTACAAACATAATAATAATATAACTATCTTTAAAATTTTCGTTCAGCTTCCTTGTAAATGAAGTAATAGCTGCTTTACGAAAAAAAACTTTAAGCTTTCTAAATCAACTTAAAGCTTTACAATTTATCAGCTTTCAGTACTGTAACATTTTTGGAAGATCTGGTAAAATATTATTGTTATTCGTGGGCGTTCGCATGATATAATATATTACAGAGGGGGGGGGGGGGGCATGATGGCAAAATAATATCAAAGCTATATCTAGGGAAACGCAAAATTGATAATCCATGGGTAGGAAAGTGCCTCCCACCTTCACCCCATATTGTCATTATTAACACAGAAGTATTAATTTTAAAAATATACACAACCTTGGAATGAATCAATATTTTCTTAGCAAACTAATTAAATGTCCTAAGCAAAGGAATAAGGACTTCTAACGTCATTCTATGTACAAAACTGCAATATTAAAGTTGTTTTTTAATTACTATATTTAAAAAGTTGAAAATTAAACTTTTATTTCGATCATTTCAATGGTCTACACATTCTGGTTTGGTTATGCTCTCTACTCTCGCTTTTTGACCTTCTCGGAACTAGCTATTGATCTGACGATATATCTAGCTATCAATAGTACTGATACTAACACTCGTGTTAGTCTGAAATGACGGGTAGTCATTCCGCTTCGTTACTCTGCTAACTTCTCGTTGTTAAAATAAAGATAACTTTAGGTGCACGAATCTCGTAAAGAGTCGCGTTCCAAAGCTGCTGGCGATGCATTCGGATGGACATCGATGTCGCTAGTTCCAGCATGTTTGTTACACTGACATATGGAGTGTCAAAATAACGCGGAACAACTAATGTATCCCAGTGTCCCCAATGACATGGAATGATGGTGTTTTTCTTCCACTGGATTGTACGCCATGTAGCAGAATGTTTAAAGTAACGAATATTTATTATCTGAAGTCGTTTCTCAAAACACAATTCGAGCTCAACCAGTAATCTTTTAGGCACTTGTTCGAGTGTTATTTAACTGTAACTATAAATAAGTAATTAATAAATATAAGATCAACTGCACATTATGAAAAGAAAATGCATATGTTACTGCAGTTAAGTGTTACTTTAGATGAGATCCGTGGCATTTAACACTAATGTTTTTGGTTCACCGTTCACGACCAAATCTTAACCTGTCGGTGATTTTGTTAATCTATAATTTCGCGCAAAGCTAAACAGAGGGCAATCTGCGCATAGTCGTCCCTAATTTGGGTAAAAGTCGTTCTCATTATCATAATATTGATTTTGATCGACGAACAAGTTAGAAGGCCAGCATAGGCCCAAGAACAACGTTCTTATAAAATGATATTAACCCTCACTGGTTACATACAACCAATTGTAGTATAGAAAATAAAGTGACACAATTTCAGCTGGTGTTTAATCCCTTAGGTTTAGTAACTTTAGTTCGAATGCTTTCAGGTAATCCCTTAGGTTTAGTAACTTTAGTTCAAATGCTTTTAGGTAATCCTTCACGTTTAGTAACTTTAGTTCGAATGCTTTCAGGTAACGTGTAATCCCTCATATTTAGTAACTTTAGTTCAAATGCTTTTAGGTAACCCTTCACGTTTAGTAACTTTAGTTCGAATGCTTTTAGGTAACGTGTAATCCCTCATGTTTAGTAACTTTAATTCAAATGGTTTCAGCTAATGTGTATTTCCCCAGATTTAGCGACTTTAAGAGCCTAGGGTTTCAGCTAATGTCTAATCCGACAGGCGAACAATGTTTAATATAGTATCAGATGAATTAATGAACCTCATCTTTATAGAGGCCTTCAAAACGATTAACCCGAAAAGAAGTAATGATTTATATTCAGTCTTCTATCTACACATTTTTCTTGATGTTACAAATAGCTTAGGTATTTCTAAGTGGCCGTATTTTCATGTCAGTGTTTACAATTTTCGAGTGTTCAAAACTACTTGCAGAAGCTACTGAAAAGTTCAAATGCACCCTGCACTGCCATCAAGAAAACAAATATAGAGAAATAATCAGGTTGTTTGCGGGTATATTTTCTTAATTCAATATCATTATAAGTTGGCATGAGTGATTATGTTGCCGATTCTCATGGCTAGAAGTTTGTCAGCTATCCACCTACTGGTAAGAATTCAACACTTAATGCTTGAGTGACAACGAACATCACAAATGAAATAAAACAGATGACATCACTTTGAAAGATAAAATAATCTGGCATCATAAAAATCTTCAATCCTAAGTCGTTTGGCAGCCTCTGCATATTATATGCAGTTGTATTTATGAAGCAGTCCCGTAAAAATCGTACTAAAGAAAATATATATGTATATTTATAAATTTTATAAGTGTTCAATTTATCTACAAATTTTTCATAACTACTTGATCATCCAACAACCCTACATACAACACAACCTAGTCAATTAACATACTACATTTATGTTCTACATGACGCTGAATACAAGTTTTCTGGCTTTAAAAAATATATATGTTTCTAAATTGTTCATCCCTAAAAGACAGATACCGGGAGTGAATGCAAGTTATCATTTGTTTCCTCTTAACTGATTTCAAGTGTGAATGAAAATATACTGATAATGTTCTTATCCACCCAGTTATATGATTCAATTAGACCCTGACCAAATACTTTAATTCTATATACAATAACTTTGTATTACCCTATTCAACTTCGCAACTAAACAAACAATAATTTCTACCAAAAACTACCGACAAAAATATCGTTCATTAATTAAAAATTCAAATGTTTCAATTTACATTTAAAACTTACCTCTTTCGTTTGTTTCTTTGTCATCAAAAATACCTCCTAATGGTAATATTAAAGAGCAAAGTTGGAAACTGTAACTTTAAAACTAACTAGTATCCAGTGGCAAGTCAGTTTCTACGTAATTTGCATATTAAGTGTATCTATTTCAGTTATTGTCTCTGACTGTTCCCGCGTATTTTGTCTTTGCAACTAAACTCATAAATTGAGACAATACAGGCCTAAAAAATTGGAAGAACAAGGCATTAGCGTTACCGTTAACTGCTTTCGATCTAAAGGCTAGTCAAGCATTGGATATTGTTCTAAGACAACTCACAAACCACTTTACTGGCATAATATGGAATTGGGATGAGTTTCATTTTCTACCTCCTGGAGAGTATAGATGATCACTGATTTGTTAAACAATCTAGAATGCGGTAATTAATCATCGTTACTAAACTGGACGATTCCACTTAAAGGAAGCTGTAGCAGACAATTGTTACATTTCTTGATACTCGAGTTTCGAGATTAGGAAACAATAAAATATATATATATTTCTAAATTAATAACGAAATTATAACACAAGAGCAAAAATATCACTGTTTTACCAGACCATATTTGATATACATATCATAGTCGTACGATGCATCGTCCTACACTTCGTTCACGGGAGATTTGGCGCTAAATGCCGCGTCTGTGATCTACTGCAAAGGGCACGCGCAGAAGTACCCAAAGCTATGTCAAATCAACTACCTACCTACCTAGTTTGATATCAAAGTACTTTAGGCAGATGACATTATTCAGTGTTAGAGCTTACGAGAGTAGATAATGTTTATTATATTTCATAAAATATCATTATTGATAAAAAAGTGATTAATAGATAAGCCAGATACTAATAAAAATATTTTGTTTTCAGAATTAATATTACGTTGGCTGGTATCGTATAAATTTTGTTCAGAGGTTATTGAAGAGAGTAAATTTTTTCAACAAAGAAAAATAAAGAAAGGAAAAAGATAAAAACTCATCAGCAAAATTTTACTTTTCAATTTCCTTTTTTTAAACATAATTTGTCATAAGATACCGTAATACGGTTCTGAACGAAAACTAAATACACACTTGATGTGCGTCCATCTAGCGGTAATATTGTTAACTAAACAAAAAACTATTATAATTAACATTGGTTCTTAGGATTTATAAATAAAAATGTAATAAAGAAAGCATACTATTATTTAAGTATAAGCATGTAGGGTTTAATTTGAGTTTACTAACAAACATTTATACGGTTAACTGTTACTTTATTTTACAATTTGACGACAGGATAAAAAAGAAAACTTAACATTCATTATCGAATCTCAGATACGAAAAACTTTCATTCATTATTCAAACCAAATATATCCCACAACACTGTAAGTTTACTATACCATTTGATTTACATTAAGTTGGATATTTTCATTATATAAAGTAGGGCTTGTTTGTGTTTTTAAGTCTTAAAAATATACAGGCGTTCCCTTTAAAATGCGTGTAAAATATGTACGGGTAATTACTCTGTTTATAGTAATATAAGACAAATTAAAGAACATAAATCACTTGTTTTCTGAACAAACAGACCAATAAAGCATCGTACGTTGGAAAAACTTTGTGTTGATGAAGGATACGTTTATGACACAAACTACAAATTAAATGCTTCGTTCTTTACTGCGTCTATCTTTGTAATGATACAGACAGTTCTTCATCATTATACTGCCCTGATAAACTGTGTCATATTCATTCGTAACGATTATTTGGAAATAAAATAATACATCAATATTCTAACTTAATTGCTGCAGAGAGACATAGTGGATCAGTGAGCTTTTAAAAATTTAGTTTGTGATTCTAAGATCTACTGAAGCTTTTGAAAACGTACATATATTTACCAATATTCCTTGCAAAACCTACACTAAATATGCTGTGGAGATACACCAGAAGACACTTTGGACATACCTGATATTTTCATTGTTAACAATAATGGAAGCAACACACATAATACAAAATAAATACCGACTTTTATATTAGCTCTGAAAATAACAACACGTAAAAGAGATTTTTACATATATATATATATATACATACATGTTGCTATTAAATGCTATTTCCGGTTACTACTGAATAACACATAAACAATTGTGTACTTTTATAAAATAATAAAACATTGTAGTTCTTTATTTAGATACAAAGTGACGTAAAATATAATCCACTTAAAGTTAACAGTTGTGAATTAATGTTACCAACTAGAAATTATTATGCAAATAATCCTTAAATTACAATAAAAATTCGAAATTATACACTAATAAATTAACAAGAAAAGTTTTGAAGCCGGAGAAATTAAATTTACATTTTTGTTAGGTTCACATGAATATCATGACATGGTTAAATTACGATTCTTTTACTCCATTCAAGCTATTACTTTGCTGTAAAAAACTTTATCTTCTTAACCAAATTATTAAAATTCAATTATTTTTATATCCTTATCAGTACATAAGACATTTCCAAGTTTTCCATGTGTGTTTTGATTAATATAACCTAAGATATCTGTAACAAACTTTAAAAGAAATATTCTGTCAGAGAGAATTAGTTTATATTTATTAAGAAAAATATATGTAATACACAGCACATGCACTTACAATAAGCAGAGATCGAAATATTACATTCGTTAAATTCCCAGGGAATTGAACTTTGCTTGAGGAATTTAATCTTTTTAGCTGGCTTTCCAGATCAAGAATACATGGTCCATTCATATTCCTTTAGTTATGACCAATGAAAGTGAAGATATTGCATGGATTAAATAAAAAAACAATTCATGAGGAAATGCAACTTTACATGAGGGAATGTAATCCTCCTGATAGCTTTCCCTCGAGCGAATGTAATTTTATTTCATTATTTCTATCCCTAAATGAGTTTAATAGGATGAACAATCTATGTTTCTATGATTATTTTTAAATAAGTTGATAAAATTATAAAAATATTTCACCTAAATGCAAACTAATAAAGAAATAATAAAGTCAGTACCACAGTTTATTTGAAAAGTTGTGTTACACAGATACATTTTATTAGCTAATTACACAAAAGAAGTAATACATAATATGCAAAATCACAACAGTTATGTATGACCATGAGCTGACTTTACTCCTTCTTCCACAATGTGGCGCTGTTTCTGCATATCTTCATAAGTTTGGAGTGCTAACTCTAAATTCCCTTTTTTTCTAGAATCATACTGCAAAAAAATCTGAAGGGAGCAAAAACTATAACTTAAACACTTCATACAAAATCTGGAAAAAATACTGCATACAGATAACCTAATCCAATGAAATATGGTTTTCTCATGACAATTTTGTTTAGTTATAACTTTGTTACTAAGCAAGGCTATAATAAAATGCAATGTCAAAACTGTTTACATAATGGCAAAAGAAAATGAACAATTTCAAAAATGGAAATCATTTTCAACTGATTAAAAGAATGTTATTAGTACAAATTACTAAAAATCAAACACTTTTTACAGTCAGATTACATTTCAATGAATGAATTTCTAGAGACTGTTCACTAAAACATCTCATATGTAATAGTTTAGAGGTTTTAGTGAACATTCTAGAAATTAATATGTAATAGTTTAGTTTTAATGAACATTCTGAATAGGAATTAAAGATGTAATAGGTTAGATGTTTTATAAAACTGTTTCTATGGAAATGGAAAGTGTAATAGTTTATATGTTTTTATCAACAGTATAGAAATTAAAGCTTTAATAGTGTAGATGTTTAGTGAACATTCTAGAAATTAAAGATGTAATAGTTTGGATGTTTTAGTGAAAAGTCTGTATAAATTATATATGTAATATTTTTGAACATTCTAGAAATTATATATGTAATAGTTTAGAGGTTTTAGTGAACATTCTAGAAATTACAGAAACTTCTCAGTATACTTCTAAGGTTGGTATAAGTAGTGTATTTTTTAAAGTTGGTGAAAATGCTGGGGTTGGATTTCATTATTCATTTCAGACCCTTCCTTAAGCTATAAAAAAAAAACTAGATTTCTTCGCAGAAGTCCAAATGTTTAAGTATTACAATTTTTTAATGCGTTTCTATGAAATTAAACATGTAACAGTTTAGATGTTTTAGTGAACAGACTATAGAAATTAAAGATGTAAGAGTCTAGTTTTAATGAACAATCTTTATGGAAATTGAAGATGTAATAGTTTAGATGTTTTAGAAATCAGGACGAACATTAGAATACACCTCTTTGTTTATACCCACCTTGACAATGCCCAAATCATCTCCTTCAGAAACACTCTGTTGTGCCGTATCTGAATCAGGACGAACATTAGAATACACCTCTTTGTTTATACCCACCTTGACAATGCCCAAATCATCTCCTTCAGAAACACTCTGTTGCGCCGTATCTGAATCAGGATGAACAATACAGTATAACCTCACCAGGTCTGCAGCATCTGAAATTCTACAGAAATAAACATGCAACTTCTCATATGAACTCTTCTTACAGACACTATTATGTGAGTTACATATGTATGACAACTGAGATAAACAGTTCTTGTAACACTCAAGAATTCTAACTTAAAATATATTAAACTTAACCACACACGATGATTTAATATATTTAAAACCACAAATATTAGAAGTTTAAGAAAATATAAAATGGGTTCTTAATTAGAACACCTATATGAGGCCCTTGTGAGCACAACAGTAATATTACCTTAGGGTTTAGTGAACCTCTTGTTTGATTATACTAAACAGTTTTATAACATCTGCTGAAAGTGAGATATCCATTGTTTTGTAACATGCTTTTTCAAATATTGTTTTTGGCAGAAAAATAATAAAATTCACAGTAGTTAAGTTACCTTTGTGTTATAGTATTTTTGGCACTTGTGTATAAAGTTAGAAATAATTGTAGTATTAAATAGAGATGAAGGCATAGCGAATATTTCTGCAAGAATGTGGATTGATCTCCTTTGAATGGTTTTTGCAT